TGTCGGACCGTGCGTGGTTTTGGCTACTCCCGGCATGATTCAGGTGTTGTTACCGTTTTGATATTGTTATATAGCAGGACCTAGTTAATTCGAAATTTGCAAAGGAATAAAACTGTATATTAAACGAAGATAGAGACGTAATGTAGAACACGAAAGATAAAGAAAAAATTTCACTAATACAGTAAAGATTCGAATTATTCATGTTTCCAGCTTATTAATTATATACTTAAACAAAAATATAAAATAGTCATTAAAATAATCAAATATGCGTCCAAAAAGACAAAAACAATTTTAATTATCGCATTAACTTTGCCCTGTTCCAATATTTATGATAATTTCCTGTTATGTTATGTATTACGCGAAGTTTTGTAAGCCGAAAATATGCAGTTGAATCTAGGCCCTGGTCACCGTCAACTGTGTTAGATGGAAGTTAGTTTTGCCTCCTGATGCTACTGTTTTCTGCTGTAAAGTATGACTACATATGTTTATTTTCTATACAGTGAACAGTAAATACTGGAAATATTCGACGGACACATGCAAACTATATCGTTTGAGTATTTTTTCATACATTTATTTCGAATCAGATACTTTTGTATTAAATTTGTTTGATTTTAAGTTTAAAGAAAATTATATTTAAAAGGTTTTGAAGGTGATAAGTCTTCTGATTCCATGGTTGGCAACACACGAATCTTCTCGTGCTGCCAGCCACAGAATCAGAAAACCAATCTCCGACACGATATCGGTATGAGCCTTAAAAATTATTTACGATGTTTTGATTTTAAAAGTTTTGTTTACTGCCTTCTAGCTGGTTTTGTCAAAATCTATCTTTAGAGCGGTCTCAGCAGAGAGCTGTTCGAAGGATGGTGCCCTGATCCAAAAAACGCCTGTATAATTGCTGGCTACTGTGTCGAAGGAACGCTTGCTAAGCACATCTTAAGCGAGCCAGAGGAGATCGTCGCGGTAAATGGTCAGAAATTGCCAATGCGTCTGCAGGTAATCGTTGAGTAAAGTTCGTTAGTCAGTCTCTGGAAGACGTTTGACATGTTTCTTTAGTTCTGAGTCGGTTTGCCTCATGGCTGAAGATTTTTAAGATTTTGGAGAATCCGGTTAAATGGCGGACAGTTAGAGTTCTGACTAGATCAAAGGGCGAAAAATATCAGTTTACAGAAATAGGTTAATAATTAGGAAAACTGAGCAAACTTACATATTATGTAGAAGTTTGAAGTTTACGGGCACTGTTGTCTTGGGTATTAAAAGACAACGACAAAATATATGAATAAAACTTCAGGTCTGACTCTAGGGTGTAATTTCTTCTGTGATAACGCGAAGGAATATATTTTTCGAAGGGCAATACTTTCATTGTTTGGAAAATTTAAATTTGTCAATATGAGTTACTATAAGTATATTGCTTTAAGATTTAATAACTGAAGTTAAGTTATAGCATAGTCTTTTCGATTTCAGGTAGCTTATATCAGTTTTTCGGCACATACCGATTATCGTCAGACGTCTGAGTTCGTTAGACATTTGAAACCTCCCCATCTTGTTCTGGTTCATGGTGAGATGAACGAAATGGGCCGATTGAAAGCGGCGATTATCAGAGAATATGAGGACGACCCGAAGTTCAAAATTGAGGTGTACAACCCACGTAATACCCAGGCGGTAGAGCTGAGTTTTCGCGGAGAGAAGACTGCCAAGGTAAGTTAGGCATATTTTTGATTATTTGCTTTTTTTAAGCCTGATGTTCAGCATTGTTAGGTTGTCGGCAGACTTGCTCAGGAACCTCCACAAGAGGGACAGGTGATATCAGGCGTTTTGGTTAAACGGAATTTCAACTACCATCTCATGCATCCGGCCGATTTATCGAGTAAGCTTTGATTGCGTGTTCTTCTTATCCCATTGCATCGAAGGTGACGCCAGTGCCGTACAAGCATTCAAACTAGGTCGAATAAATGCATATTCACTCTTCAGCCCTTTTCATATCATATCAATTTACCGAGAATTTTCCATCTTGTTACAAGTTTTCCTGTCACCAGGCTTTGCGTTCACTACTTGCTTTTCAAGGCGGTTATCTCCCATTCGTTGGCACTGACCCAAACGTTTCAAACTTCTCGTTTGTAGCCTGACGCCCAACCTTAGTTCGATTTTCTGATCTCTTTCGTGCAGCGCATTTGACACCAAATTGTACTACTTAGCTCCTGATATCTTCAAATCTTCTTTACAGTCGTTCCAGTTTTCTGTTTTCAGCGTCGTTAAGTGCTGACGTAACCAAGCCATGGGGAAGAGGTTCAAAATGCAAGTCACGTATATCCACTGCTTTGTTCCATTTTTAACCTATTTGTCCCTCCAGAGCTCAGCGAACTTGTTCGCTTCGAATGCTAACTCACAGCGGCTCATGATTTTGTTTATCGCTCGTCCGTCTCCAGCCAGTTTTTTCCCAAGATACTAATGTTACTAACAGTGCCTTTTAAACAACTTCGGAACTCTGTCTTTGCCGGTCCCAAGCCCGGTTGAGACGGGAGCACGGGTGGAAACCGTAGCGAAGTCTCCGTTAAAGCTCGTCATCTGCCACTCGTTGTACCAACGAAAATTATACCAACTGTCGTCGCCCGGGTTACCAAGGGCCGCGCAGGCCTTTGGAGAACTGAGGCAGAATGCGAAAAGTCGGCGACCAGAACCTGCTCATCGCTCTCTGCAGCCGCGGGCGTAGCAGTACAACAACGGCTGACGAAGACCGATGGAACGACGACTAAGATACCAATCAGCAACGGAGTCGCTATCCGTTCTGAACAGAGGAGGCAGACGCGATGCCATTATAGCACGTCAGAAAAGGTCCATGAGAACGAAACCGCTAGTGGGAGCATAAAGTAGGAAATTGGAATATATCCTCATTTAGAGGGAAAGAACAAGAGCTAGTTCATGAGGCCATAAAGTACCAACCCGAAAATGTTCGACTCTCGTCAACGAAGCGCCAAGGCTGTGGAATCCTGAACCTCTGCGGGTGCAAGCTATTCTACTACGGTGACGATATCACGACTCGCGCTCAGACCAGTATTAATGTTCTGGTAGAACCCAACCTCGCAGATACAATCATTCATTGAAAGCCTGTCAAAGAAAGGGCTGATGCTACAACAGGCTAAAGCGTTGACCTTGGAACGTGTCTATGCGCCCAATATGGAGGGAGAATATGATACCTTCTTTGAGAACGTGCAGTGTACTCTCTGAAGAGCTGAACACGGAGTACCTAATATTGATGGCCGATTTTAATGCGCATGTCGGAGTAGACGCTGACAAGTGGAACGGCGTGATTGGAAAAAGCCGCCCTAGCAACCTCAGAAATAACGGCATGAAGTTGTTGCGGTTTTATGCAAACAACGGATTGTCCATTATGAACACCTTCTTCGAGC